AAGTCCACTGGATACTTTGCTGGTGAATTCCACTGCTCACTCACTTCTCTTCTCTCTGGCCAGCGACCGTCTTCCGGGGAAGTCTCTTGTCCCAGTATCGAACTTACTCTCGGTATGTTACTCTCATTATCCTTTGCCTGCAGTTGTAGCCTTGGTGATCTTGCTTCACTCAGAAGGTTCTTCAGCGGGACGTGTTGCTCCTTTACTGTGCTCCAGCTTGTCATCTTTTCCATGGTGATCTCCTGGTTCCTCGACAGATCAACAGAAAGTGATGCGTTTTCAGATTTGTTAGATCCACCATTTGCTCCTGTTCCATCAAAATTGATTAGGCTATTAGAATGGTACACAAATATATTCCTTTTCAATGAGTGACTTAGGAACAATATTGGCCAGTAAAAGTGAAATAGCTGGTGTATCATTACTAGCTCCAGTGATAAATTGATGAGGGTTTCAGGTTTTTCCTCATACAAGATGGGATACGTACCTGATTCCGATCCCAAGTTGGATTCAAACGCATTAGATGTATTATTTCTAGTGACTAGCGGACTCGAAACCAGAGATCTGATGTGTGCTTCTGAAAGATTCTGCAGTCTCCCAAAATCTCGATGGTCATTTGATTCAATAGTCACGGGGACCTCAGCATATAAGTTGTGTGTTTTGACATGACCGTCAATCTCATTTCCTTGAATAACCCCCAAGCCACCAACAACTCTATGGAATTCTGTCCTTCCACTTTCCGGTAATTTCTGATTAGCTGTTTGAACAGTAGTATCATCAGGTGCAGTACCTATTGATCCAGAATGGCTTATCGGATCATCCTTTGTACTTGTAACGTTTGTGAAACTGCTTTCCTCCACAAGCCCCTCTTTGCTACTCTCTCTGCGAGCTTCATCACTACTTTCACAGGCTTCAGCACTGATTTGGAGGACAGAGTCTTTCGATGTTTCTATTGAACTTTTACCCTGCTCGCTTGCATCGTCTCCCTCAAATACAACAGAGACGGGAGAAACATAGTTTTCAGCAGCACAAGAGGATTCAGAATTCAGCTTGCTATTTGGGCTGTTACCATCGTCAGCAACATCATTTGCTTGAATAAGTTCACTCTCATGACCAATGAGATCGACTACACCAGTTTTGTCAGCTGCACGATTCACATCAGCATTTGAGTCAGCAATTATAGGATCTACCGCAGGTAGAGACACGCTCAAGGTTTCTGATTCAACAGTTTCTTGTGCAGCTCCAAAAGATGATTCACCCTCTCCAGCCTTCATTTCGATATCTTCAGGGTCAGTCTTAGATATCAATGTGTTCTCTGCGCTGGGAAATTCCTTGACTGCAACCAAAGCAGCTTGACCTTGAGGTTCAGTTTTGTCTTCCAAGAGAAGATTGTCTGATGAAGGAACCTCTGTGCCATTACTTAAGCTCTTAGGCTGAATGCCTAAATTATCTGCCTGACTAAAAGTCTCAGTTTCAATTACTTCTCCCTTTGGTGTCTCAGGAAGGCAGGGGTTCACAGAATGATTCGTTTCAACTTTCTCAAGGCTTTCGATTCCATGCAAAGAGAGGTCAGCATTTTCCGCCAAAGGTATATTATCAGGAACAGATTGAGTGGTGCTGATAACTTGAGCTGCATTGGCTTTCACCAGAGAAGTATCGACTGGAACACTCTCACTGACTATACAGTCAGCTTCACCAGGATGAATCATACTCGTTGCTTCTAAAGAAAATCCAAGAGGACCCTCCAGGTCTGAGTAAATCACGTCATCGTTCCACGATGAATCCGAAGTATCCGCTCTCTTTGCTGATGCGGATGCTAACTTATATTCAGATTCATCCGGTAAAATTCCTTTGGATTCTGTCTTTAATCCCACAGTTGATACGGTATCACCACCGCCAATGACCTGAGCTTCCTGTGATGACTCAATCAGAGTTTTAGATGCAATAGAGTGTCCTTCAGTAGAACTTTCTCCACCTTGTCGATTCTCGGAAGCTGCTTCAACTGAACTGGGGACATCATGGTTCTCAAGGACTTCCACGGGTGAAACTTCACAGCTCTCTTGAACCACTTCAATGTCTGTTGACAAACCGTTGGATGGCTGAGTTTCACCTGAGCAGTTTCATATTCATCAGCTATAAACTCAAAATAAAGCAGGCACATCACAGATAACATGAAAGCAAAATGGGATTTAAAGCAAAAGCAGGCACATCACAGATAACTCGGTGAACTGAATAGTTTTCCCTTTGAGCCAGATAGTCTACAGGTTTGAAAACTCAACCAAGACTTTATATCGTAATGTGCAGAGCCCATCACACACACATTTATGTTATCATTGATAAACCAAGTCTCTCATTAACATCTGAAGTTAACATCATCCATGAGTTTTCTTATCAAAAGGAGTAACTCACCTGGATTCTTAGTACTCATCGCCACGCAATTTGTTGCCGTCTCTTCTTTTTCCTTGAAAGAATCAGATCTCGAAAATTCACAAACAGCATCTGCAAACACATCCTCTTCAGATATATCCCCAATTCTCTCATCAGCTTTCTCCACAACAATTCTTGGACCTTACCTCATCAAGCATATACATTTATACATTAGCAACAACAATGACAAAAGGCTAAAACTATTTCACATTTCACAACAAGTATTTCACTTTTACATCCAAATCACAAAATGTTGCTTACTTGGGGTTTTTTGCTCATCATCCATGCAATGTTCTTCCTGCAAATCAAGAATTTGTTTCGCAGTTTCGGAATCAAAGATCTCAAATCCTTTGATGGTTCCACATACTTTCTTGTGTGCACGCCTGTTTTTAGCACTAGGATGTGGATTTGGATAATTCCAACCACATTTAGTGCAGACATGAGCCCCATGGATCTTACCTCCTCCTACAAAACGAACAATCCATATTCTTAAATTGATAGATACTACAATTATTCTACAAGACTTGTTTAAGAAAATAAAATCAGAAAGCGAAAAAAAAAAACCATTAAATCAAATCGACATTAAAAGACAAAAAGGAAGAAACCCATTATTGCAAAAGCCAAAATTGCTACAAAGTTACAAAACA